TTTAAGGGGTTTAGGGTTTGGGGGTTCAGAGGTTTAGGGTTTATGGGTTAAGGGGTTTAGGGTTTGGGCGTTTTGGGGGTTGAGGGTTTTGGGGTGTCTACGCTTAGAGCTTAGGGTTCAGGCTTACGGGGTCTGTAGTCTAGACCTGAAGCTGAAGAAGATTAGGCTTGACTTACTGTCCAGTGCTCTAGGAAAACTAAAGGTTAACCTCAGTTAACCTCTGGGATTATGTAGGGATTATAACCCTCAACCCGAACCCCTAAACCCCCCCTAAAAACCGTAATCGTAACCCCCAACAGAGGTTAAAAGTACTATGTTGAAGGCACGGTCACTCCCTGCAAGACGTCGGAATTCGGGTGCAGCACGTGGGGTCCAAGACTTCGGAGTCAGGGCAAGGATTGGCGGCAGAAGGCCCTGCGCTAATTTTGGGGCCTTAATAACTCGAATTGGGTGTTGGGGTTCCTTTGAAGGGCACTATAAGGGCTACTATGAGGGTTTAGGGTTTAGGGGCCTTAACAACTAGAATCGGGTTTTGGGGCCCCTTATACTATAAGTATAACAAGGAAACGACGAACTAATATCTTTAACGATTGAGGCCCCTATATTACTTGGAGGGTCAGGAGACTTAGTAAGTGCTGGTAGTTATCCTATAGACATAGAAGGATCATAAACCCAATGAGGGCCGTTTTTAGGGTAGCTATAAGTCTACTTATTACCTACTTACGACGTCTTCCGACCCTTCAAGTATATACCCTAGTCTCTGAAAAAATCTATCAACCCAAATCCAGAAGCTTAGACCCTCGACCTTAACCCCGGAAGTCCCTACTCCTAAAGCCACCACCCTAACCCCCATACCTCGAGTAAGCAAGGTACCTTCACCAAAAAAAGAGTACATGTACCATTCTTAGGGCCATACCCTTTTTTAAAAAACTCATCGGTTACTCTAGGATGTACCGGCCATACCCTTTTTGAAAGGTATATCGGTTACTCTAGGTCCCTAAACCCTAAACCCTAAACCCTAATCCTAAACCCTAAACCCTAAACCCTAAACCCTTTTTAAAAGGTATATCGGTTGCTCTAGGTACATCCTAAACCCAGTTGAAGTCGTCAACCTCGTGCCTTGTCAGAGAGGCAGGATCCATATGACATGATCCAGCCAGGGACGAAGGAACCTCATAGTGTTTAGGGTTTAGGGTTTAGGGTCCATGGAGGGGCTGACTTTCCGACCTATAGTAAAACCCCAAAACGTTGGAAACCGGATTGAGGACAATCCGTCCGGGAATTCCCCATACATTCCTATTAAGGATTGAGGCTGCTGGGTTTCCAACTCTTGGGCTCCACCCCTAAACCCTAAACCCTAAACACTAAACCCTAAACCCTAAACCCTAAACCCTATAGCCTAAACCCTAAAGCCCTAACTTGGGGGCTTCTACCCCTAAAACCTAAACCCAATACCCTAAACCCTAAACTTCTGCCATAAGAAAGTGGATGACAGCTGAATTAGCAGGAACCTGAAGGCGAAAAGTTTAGGGTTTTGTTTGGGGTTGAAGGGTTTAGGGTTTAGTGTTTAGGGTTTGAGGGTTTAGGGTTTATGATTTAGGGATGCCCTCGACAATTTGCAGGGGTTTTACTGGGTTTTTGGAAAGGGTTTACAAGGTTTCGTCAGTCTTGGCCTCAGGGGAGGTAAGTGTTGAGGGTTTCTTCTGTTCAGGATCCTTTCAGAAACTTTCCTGGTGCCAGTCCTCCCCACCCCAAAGCCGAAACCTCAAACTATTCACTGTTGGGCCCTAAAAAACCCTAAACCCCTGAACCCTAAACCCCTCTAGAACCCTGATAGATCCCACGAAATTCCTCCCGACACCAGAAACCCAATCTCCGAATCCCTTGATGCTTTTGTCAAGGCACCATAGTAGCCCCAGAAAGTTGGAACATGGATTTAGGATTTAGGATCATTTAGTCATGGGATTCCCGATTACTTCGCCTTAGGTATCGGGATAATGATGCTCCAACTTTCTGGCTTCTACTAGTTGTGTCCCGGTTGAGTGGAATGAAAACTTGAAGAACCCGTCTAGGACCCTGTCCAAAAAAATCGGTATGTGTCGCCACGTACCGACGAGACAGCGACCAAATACACAGTCGTCACTTTTCCTAAACTGGGCCCCTGTGGGAGCTATCTTGAAGATGATCATTTTTAATCCTTATTACCACAAAAACGGAAAATCGTAGACAGCAAAGACCCAGTAAAGAGTCCTATCATAAATATGCCCACCTCAGAGCCGAACATGCCCTAAACCATCCTGAACCCTGCACCCGACCTCATGTACAGAGTCGATACCCCCCTAAACCCTATGTAATTCCGGCTGTGTCGCTTGCCTGAAACCACATCTATCTCTTTTACACTTCGGCCCGAAGGCCCGCGTGTGTACTGGTGAACAGTACTTTGGGGATGCACCAGAAAAAGTGCATCTGTGCCCCAGAGTTTCGCTACGTACCGTCTGGTTTGGGTTCCTTAGTCAACTACAGTGGTAGCGGAGCGCCTGGCTACGTCCAGGTGCTTAGGGGTTGACGGTGCGAGTGAAACTCTGAAGTGCAGAGGCAGTTTTGTGTGCAAGCGGTAACGCGGTGCTATGTCACGACAAGATGCCGTGAACATCCCGGTGCCAGAACCGGACGAAGGGGAATACCTCGAAGAGCAGGCGGACGGAGGCAGCGACGAAGAGGCGGACTACGAGCAGTTCCAAAGGTGGATGCAGTTTCGCGAGCGCGACCGACGGTCAGAGTGGCGAGGACATCGCCCACGAGAGCAGAGCCGCCGAGGACGAGATGATGAAGATGATGATCAAGGCGACCTGCGGGCGAACGCCGGCCCTCCCCCGCCGTGGGACGGTCAAGAATCCCCCTTCGAGGACTATCTGATCCGTGCCAGGATCTGGGTCGGAACGACAAAAGCTCGAGGCCGAACACGCGGGCCCCTCCTCTTAAAGGCTTTGAGCGGGACCCCTTTCCAGGACTTTAAGCACCTGGCAAAGGATGCCAAGTGGCTCACCGACCCGGACAACGCCGAGCAGCTCCTCAGCCAGATGGACACCCCAGAGTACTACGGGGACGACAAGGACGAGCACCTTCTGGCCTCCCTCTCGAGGATCACCTACCACTTGAAGCGGTCCCGGACCGAAAGTGCCCGCCAATTCCTTGGCCGCTGGGAGGCGGCCGAAAGGAAAGTTCTTGAGCATAAGGTCAACTTGCCGCCGATCTACAAGGGCTTCCTGTTGATCAATGCTTTGGGGCTCTCGGAGCCAGACACCAAAGCCCTGCTGAACTTCACGCAGGGATCGATCGAGCCGAAGGACGTGAAGCATTGGCTCCGGAAGCACGAGACCAAGCTTCAGGCCAACCAACTCGGCAACGAATCGGCCAACAGGACCGGCAAGGCGACGGGCTCCGCGGTGCACATGATGGAGGAGATCCCAGAGGAAAATGGAGACCAGGCCGTGACCGGCCCGGATGACGAGGAGATTGACCTGATGGAGGCCATGCTGGCGGACCTCGTCGAGGACGAGGAGACGGAGCCAGGGCCCTTCGAGGAGCAAGAGGTGGCCGAGATCCTGTCCATGATGATCAAGGAAAAGAAGAAGACGTATACTCAATCAGCTCAATTGAAGAAGGACAAGGAGCTTGGCCGCGGCTACCGGAACGGCACGGGTTTCAACAGCCGCTCAGTGAGCGGACCCATCCGGCCTGGACACTACAAGTTGTCGATTGCTGAACTCAAGCAGCGGACACGCTGCAAGAAGTGTGGCAAAATCGGCCACTGGCAGAGAGAGTGTCCTGGGACGACTGGGACCGGCCAAGCGGCGAGCACTAAGGAGACGCACCTTCTCGAAGTAGACCTGCAGGACTATGACGATGCCATGTTCTGCCACTACCTGGAGACGGTGCCGAAGCCTGGCGCCGGAGGTGCAGTTTTGAATGAGGATTTTGAGCCAAAGGGCTATGGACACAACCGTGACAGCCCAATTTCCGAGCTCGATTACATGTTTCGGCCTTGCCATGAGGTGTGGTTTAGTGATGGTTTAGGGTATGATGATAGGACTTGTGCCACTCTTGATACGGGATGTCAGAGAACTGCAGTCGGCGCCGAAACCCTGAAAACCATGAAACCTCTCTGGCCACATGAACTTCAATGGTTCAAACAGGTCGAAATCAATCGTTTTCGGTCGGTTCATGGTGTTTCGCAAACCGAATACAATGCTATCGTGCCCTGTAGCCTGGGAAAGAAAGGTTGCTACCTGAAGCCAGCTGTGTTTGAAGGACCACATAGTTCGCAGGCGCCTTTCTTGATCTCGCTTAAATTCCTGCTACAGAGTGACGCGATCATCAGTCTGGTCCAAGGCAGGCTCATGTTGGTTCTTAACAAGCACGGATCCAGGATTCCCTTGCTTATCGGACCAACCGGTGCGCTTCGGGTTCCATTGAATGCTTTTGACAGTCACATGATGGGTGCCTTGAAGAAAGCTGAACGAGGGATCACTAGCAGTGCGGCGAATGAGTTTGAAGTTCTCTCAGTATGCAACCTCAAGCACGCGCCCCGAATAGGAGACCACGGCACTAACTCGGTGCCCCTTTCTCCTGTGCCGTTAGGACGCCATGGACTGCAGCTCGCCGACGAACAAGCGAGCTCGACCCGAGGGTGCAGATGGAGCCAAGACAGCCCGGGCGTTGGACGCCTGGAGGAATCTACTCCTCCGACTCGCTCTGATCTTCCGGCCCATGGTACGCCTGATGGTCAATTTGGTGGAGGGCTCCCTGGACCGGTCCTTCCAGCAGGTCAAGAACAACGTCCATGCCTACCACCTGGCCCACCTGGAGGAGCTCCGCCGGGTCGTGGACGACGCGATCAAGGACAAGACCGACCAGGACCGCGAGCTGTTCCACAAGTTCCAGAATTGGAAGCGCGAGAAGAAGTCACAGGGACCTCCGTCGGGAACGGAGGCCGGGTTCGAGATGGTGGAGAAACGGTCGGCAAGCAGCTCGGCGTACTTCCCCTTGCCGGACTCGATCTCGGAGTACACCCACTACAATGTGAAGACGGGCAACCGAGGCAAAAGGGTCACTGCGGCCCGAACGGGATCGCCACCTTGCGGACCACCTCCACCTGTGCCCCTGAACCAGAACATCAAGCCCTCAAGCAGCGGGGGAACCAGTCACTACGCTTCGCCCAGCCTGAGCTCCTCACCGACCATGGAGAAAGTGACCGACAAGATGAAGCAGCAGGAGGTCTTCACCTTCGGGGCCCAACTCTTCGGCATCGACCTCCCGCAGTGCAACTGCGGCCTGGTGTGCAAGATGGAGTTGAGCCAGACCCAGGCGAACCACCAACGGGTCTTCGTGAACTGCTGCAAGCGCAACGAGAAGGAGCAATGCGGTGTTTTCCGATGGTGCGAGAAGCAGCCTCTCCTGGACGAGGAGTTCCGGGTGACCCGCGACCGGGTCCGGAGCGAGATCACGGAGGACCACACCCCCCGGGAGTTCCTGGTCCGGATGATCCAGGACCTCTGCGGCCACAGTTCGACGATCCGGACGGGGACCAACGCCTTCGTGAACCGGGTTCGATGCCGGACATGCCACAAGCTCCTCACCAACGAGACCAAGAGCCCCAGCGAGTCGAAGAACCCCAAGACGGAGAACAATATGGTGGGGGCCAGTCTCGGACCAGCACCTACGGAAGCTTCGGACGAGAGTTCGAGCCACCAGGCGGACTACCAGGAGTTCCTTGCTTGGCGGCGCCTACAACACTGAGCCGACGGCAGAGGCGTCAGCTACGCGGTTCTGTGACCAGAGCACAACGCTCAATGGCCACTACTTTCGAACTGCTACAGGTGGGGTCCACTGCGATCCCTATGAACCGGGAGGACCGGCACAGGCGTTTTTCAAATGCGGAAACCAGGACATGCGGAGAGATGCTTCAGTGCAGTCTAGGACTTAGCAGGAATGAGGTTGCTGAGCTAGGTGAGACCGAGGGCAAGGGATCTGACATGTCAGTCCTCTATGTTTCGAACATACCTCAGTGCTTCCTAGAGTGCTTGCACCATGCTCTTGACACGAAGTGTGCCTGTCTTGTGTTCGTTCTGCCTCCGAAACCTGAACACAACCATGAAGAAGACGTGATCATGAGATTGGTTAGGCAGGGCAGTGCGAAAGCAGTTCGAGATGGGGCCAAGGTCGTGTGTGTCCAAGAGGGACCTGAAGATGTCTCGCAGTTTGAACACCTCCCGGAACGCAGCCGTTTTGGTGGCATGCACTTTGCCACTAACTGGAGTACTGTGACCCGGGCCCCCGGCCGAAGCAATCCCGTGAATGTAGGAGCGTTCCTTGGTCTGGTGCGATGCCTGCTCGCTGGATGCTATGGCGTTGACGTCAACACGATCTACGTGCGGGACGTGGTGAAGGATGTTCAAGAACAAGGAGAACGACTACGGCGGTACCAAGACTACACCCACCAGGCGATCGACGAGAACGAAGTGCACTTCCAGCGACGGGTCCGGGCCCGACGAGCGGAAGGCGAACAACCTGGACCGAACCAGGGAACAGCCGATGATTCCGAAGGACAACCAGTACCAGATCCACCCGAAGATGAAGGCGATCAAGGGGGTAAACGACCACTACCAGGACCAGGACTAGATCTTGCAGCCGACGATTCCGGAGGACAACCTATACCAGATCCACCCGAAGATGGAGGCGATCAAGGGTCCATAGATTTAGGTCAGGAAGAACGGCATCTACCAGGCAGTCGTCAAAGGACGCTTACACAACTGGTCCGGCGTGCGCATGAAGGACTAGGGCATCCACACAGGGAGCGTTTTGTCAGGATCTTACGTGCAGCCAAGGCAACGACTGAAGTCATCAAGATCGCCCAGGAGATGAGATGTAGCGTGTGCGAGAAGTTTTTGCAGACACGACCTCCGCGACGAGCAGCACCACCACGTGAAGTGGGGATCAACGAGGTGATCGGGATGGACACCGTTTGGATACCTACTGTGGGACAGAAGCGGAAGAAGATTGCCTTGAACATCATTGACTACGCCTCACACTTCCAGATGATCATACCCTTGAAGGGGAGAAGTCCCGAGGCTGTCTGGACCGCTTACCGGCAATGGGTACGATTCTTCGGGCCACCCAAACAAATTTGGGCGGATCAAGGAGGCGAGTTCAAAGGATCTTTCCGGACCCGAACCATCCAGGAAGGAACAAGACTGGAACCCAGTAGCCTGGAATCCCCCTTCCAACGGGGGCTAGCAGAGAGACACGGAAAGACCTTCAAGGTGATCCTCGAGAAGATCATGGCGGACTACTGCTTCAGCAACCTTGCCGAGTGGCATGAGCTCGTGGACACGGCCGCGATGATGAAGAATCGCCTCGCATCTCGAGGCGGATTTTCCCCTGTCCAACGCGTCATCGGTTATTTACCCCGACTACCTGGAGGACTCCTATCCGAAGGCCAAGACGACGCCGAGACGAGCAAGCCGAACCGACTTGGAGATGGAGGACTAGCCCGGTCCATGGCCATGAGGAAGGCAGCGGCAAAGGCTTTCTTTGAGGTGGACTGCGACCAGGCCTTAAGGAATGTGCTAGCCGGTGGGCCGCGACCTCAACACGACTACGTGGTCGGACAGATGGTCTACTTCTACCGCTTGGGCCATTCCAAGAAAGGAGATCGTCCACATGAACGGTGGCACGGGCCCGCGCGGGTCATTATGACGGATCTTCCGTCAACTCTATGGCTCAGCTACCAGGGCAACCTGGTCAAGGCCTCACCTGAACGAGTTCGGCCTGGCAGCGAAGAAGAAAAGATGACCATACATGGTTGGCTGGATGGCTTGGCACAAGCTAAGGAGGAGTTCGAGAAAGAGCCTAAGCGTGGCTACATGGACCTCACTCACCAAGGAGCCCCTCCCGGAGCCGGACGAGATGGAACCGAATGAGGAACTGGACGAGATGGCACCAGAGGATGAACTACGAGGCCCTGAACCTGTACTACGCCGAGTCCGCACCAAGACAAGTATGGCCGAGTTGCCTGACCGCCACCGGGAACGTGACAATGCTGATGTCGTTCGCCCACCTGACGAACCTAGTGGCATTGAGGTACTTCCCCACCAAGTGGAAGGCGAATGGCAACCACTACCAGCTGATCCGGACCTTCCTCCTCAGGCCGATGCGGAGATGGAGGACCTTGACAACGACGATGTGGAACCGCCCAGCAAGAGATCGCGGATCCACATTTTGGAGAACTACTATGCCAAGCTGGAGACTCTGTTCAAGACCCGACAACGGAAGGAGGTTCGGTTGAAGGATTTGTCTGCCGAGGACCTTGCATGTTTCCTACGAGCAACGGGCAAGGAGATCAAGAACAACCTCGAGACGAAGGCTTACGAGCAGTTGGACAGCGAGGCCAGCCAGAGGATCCGTGAGACGTGTCCCGAGAGGATCATGGAGTCTCGATATGTTCGGACGGCAAAGCCGCTTGAACATGATGACGTTGATAAAGCCCGGTGCGAAGGCACCTTACTGCAAGGAGACCACGGGGGACCCTGCAAGGCAAAGGTTCGACATGTCATGAAAGGGTTTTCAGAAGAAGGGGCTGAAGAACTTGATTCGGCGACTCCTCAGGTGACAAGGGAAGGTGTCATGTTCACGGCTCAAGTGATTGCTAGTAAGAAGTGGCAGATGGGGTTTCTCGATTTTACTCAGGCTTTTCATTCAGGCGATCCAATCGATCGAGAATTGTACGCTGAGCAACCTCCTGAAGGGGTTCCCGGGATGAAGAAAGGGGACTTACTGAAACTCCTCAAGACGTGCTATGGGCTTCTTGATGGGCCGATGGCCTGGTTCAGACATCTGAAGCGGGTTTTACTTCAGGAGTTAGGATATGTTCAGAGCTTGGCCGACCCCTGCATTTATTTTCTGCATGATGAAACCAAGACCGGCTGGGACCGCCTGATCGGGATTGCTTCAGTTGCTACGGACGACTTGCTTCATGGAGGCGGGGCTGCCCATCAGGCCAAGATGCAGGTTCTCAACAGTAAGTACAAGCTAGGGAAGTTTCAGTACGGATCGGGTAGGTTTACCGGCAAACAGTTTACTGCACAAGCCGACGGCAGCATCTTGGTTGAGCAGCAACACTACGTGTCCGAAAAGGTCCACAAGATCCCCTTGAGCAAAGCCAGAAAGCTTCAGAGGTATTCCCATTGCACGGAGACCGAGATAGGACAGCTTAGATCGTTGGTCGGGGCTTTGTCTTGGCTAGCAAAGGAGACGAGGCCGGATCTTTGTGGTCGAGTTTCCCTGTTACAACAGCAGTTCCCGAGACCCAGGGTTCGGGACATTGTCAGCGCCAATCAACTGGCCAGCGAGGCCGAAAAGTACCCGATCGGGATTAGGATAGCTCCCATCCCTATCAACAGACTCAGGGTTAGCGCTGTCACTGATGCCGCCTGGGGTAACGCTGAAGAACCGGGGTCCAAGGAGAAAGGTCAAGACTTTTGGGTTGAGACTTCCACCCAGTGGATTAGGAAGCATGTGAGTCCCCGACGAACCCTGTTCCACCCGGGAATGGTTGATTCTGGACCAGATCTTCACAGCCTCTCTGCCGAGCGTGTGACGCACATGTGTCAAGATGGTAAGGAGCATCAGCAGACCGACCAGTGGAACACTACTAAGGCAAGCCTGGTAGCGGGCGAGAGCTGGACTGGCCAGACCATGTTTGCAAAATGCAACAAGGGTTTAAGCCATGCGGAAATCACCGAACAGTTTCTTCAGAATCGGCGGACAAGCAGTCAGGGCGGTCACTTGGTTATTTTTCATGACAGGGATCTTCAGTTTGAGCCCTCCTCGGATGTGACCATTTCCAGCTGGAAGAGCTATCGCCTTAAACGTAAGGTGGTGAACACCCTGTCTGCTGAATGCCAGGCCCTTGCCACCGGCATTGGGAATGTTCATTGGCACAGGTTTCTGCTGCTCGAAGCGCAGGGTGCCGAGATCCTCGATCAGGACTGGGAGAGGACACTAGCCTGCATCCCCTATCTTGCCGTTACCGATTCTAAATCCTTGTACGACTCCCTGTCCAAACAAACATGTCCGTACAGCCAGATCGACGACAAACGAACTGCCATCGACATCTCGATAATCAAGAATGAATTATCTCACGGTGGTACCGTTCGATGGATTGACGGTCGAAACATGCTCTCTGATTCCCTGACCAAGACTACTGGCAGTGGATATCTTCGTCATGTCATGATGCACGGCCGGTGGACATTGAACGAGCTCGGATTCAATACCATTAGGCCGGAGCTTGACGAGAGCACAGCTTGTCTTTTTCTCCATGATGGCCTATGGTGCGAGTGGTTTCAGTCAATTTAAAGTTACGCCGATGTAATTCCGGCTGTGTCGCTTGCCTGAAACCACATCTATCTCTTTTACACTTCGGCCCGAAGGCCCGCGTGTGTACTGGTGAACAGTACTTTGGGGATGCACCAGAAAAAGTGCATCTGTGCCCCAGAGTTTCGCTACGTACCGTCTGGTTTGGGTTCCTTAGTCAACTACACCCTAAACCCCTAACCCCTAAGGACCTAAACCCCAAAACCCCTAAACTCCTAAATCCCTAACCGCTAAACTCCTAACCCCTAAACCCTAAACCCCCAACCCTTAAACCCTAAACCCCTAAATCCAAAACGCCAAAACCCTAAACCGCAAACTCCTAACCGCTAAACCCTAAACTCCTAACCCCTAAGCCCCAATTTTTTGGATCCCTCTCAGAAACCCCTAAACCCTAAACCCTAAACTCCTAACCCCTAAACCCTATTTTGTTTAAATCCCCTTCAGAAACCTAGAAATCGCAAAGTTCAAGGCGGGGCTCGTCCAATTCGGAAGCCACCGGGCTCGGCAAGCCGCGACAGTGATGGGAGCAGGGCTTAGGCTTGTGGGATTAGGGCTTCGGAATTGTGGGTTTAGGGTTTAGGGTTTAGGAGTTTAGGGTTTAGGGTGTAGGGTTTAGGGTTTAGGGTGTAGGGTTTAGGGTATAGGAGTTTAGGGTTCATGGTGCAGGGTTTAGGGTATAGGAGTTTAGGGTTTAGGGTCCAAGGTTTTGGATTTGGGGTTTGGGGAAGAGGGGTTTAGGGCGTAGGCTAAGGGAAGGAAAGTTACGTGGAAGAGTGCTTCACCAGAAATGTTCTAAGAGAAACTACAGCTTTGAGTGGTTGTCCTGCCTTTTTTTGGTAAGCCTAAACCCTAAACCCTAAACACTAAACCCTAAACCCTACGGTATTTAGGGGACAGGTAATGTAAGGAATCCCAGCAGAGCTCGCGGTGCTTGATTGCGGCGGCGCGGAAGCAAGCCAGGCCACCAGTAAAGAAACCTTTAGGGCTTATGGGGTTTAGGGTTCAGGGTTCAGGGTTTAGGGTTTAGGGTTCAGGGTTTAGGACTTTTAGGGTTTAGGGCTTTTAGGGTTTAGGGTTTAGGGCTTTTAGGGCTTATAGGGTTTAGGGTTTAGGGTTTTGGGCTTTTAGGGTTTATGGGGTTTAGGGTTGAGGGTTTCGAAACCCGAACAACCTGAGGGCTAAGGGATTCATTCGGGTTTAGGGTTCCAGGAGGGGTTGGGCAAGAACAAACTTTGAACCTCTACACCCTAAACCCTAAACCCTAAACCCTAAACCCTAAACCCTAAACCCTAAACCCTAAACCCCTAAACCCCTACCCCCTAAACCGTAAATTTCTGAATCCCCAACCTTATCATTTGCCAATTCGTGAAGACCATCATCGCTAGCAGGAAACACAGCTTGACGTAGGGTCTAAGGCGCTATTTTGGGGTTCGGAGCAACAGGGTGATGCAACAGGAAGCAGCATGCGGTCACTGCCGTCAACGCAGGCTCAATTTAGGGACTAGGGTTTAGGCTAAACCCTAAACCCTAAACCTTAACCCTAAACCCTAGACCCTTAAAGTTTAGGCTTTAAGGATTACGGTTTGGGGTTTAGGGCCGCCAGGTATTGGCTTTGGGGTTGAAGGTTCAAGTTTCAGGATTGATTCCCCAAATCGTAACACCCAAAACCATCGCATCGCTGGAACGAACCCTCATGATCTTACTTTGCACACCCTCCAAAACGGACTATACCCTAAATACACCCCAAACCTGCAAAACCTGCACCCAAAACTCTGAGAAAACCCCCAAAGCCTGAAACCTTGACGCCCTAAACCTTGCACCAAAACCCATGACCCTATTTGGCCCTAAACCCTAAACCCTAAACCCTGCTTGGCTCTAGGGCTCAGCCTTCGCACCTCACCCTAAACCCAAACCCTAAATTTACTCAGCAGTGCCCACCCTAAACCCATAAAACTCTGAAGCTCAGACGCCATGGCCGTGAACCTGGTAGATCCTCTAGGCGGCCTTAACAGTATCAATATCCCCTTACTTTCTTGCTTCGGGCTTTCTGTTCAGGTTTGGGGTTCAGCGCAGGCTGTAGTGGGCGAGACGGGGCACGAAATGAGGGTTTGGGTGCTACACCACCCTAAACCCTAAACCCTAAACCCTAAACCCGAAGCCCTAAACCCTAAATGAGGGTTTGGGTGCTACACCCTGCTTCGGTTTTCGGGTGAACGGTTGGAAGTTTTCAGGGCTTTAGAGGCTTCCGGCTGAAGCTATGGCTTTAATTAGGGTTTAGGGTTTAGGGCCTTGGGTTTAGGGTTTAGGGCCCTAAACCCAAAGGGTTTACGGGCCCGGCTGAGAAATCGACCCCTACACTCTTCCAATTAGCCCCCGGGTCATACGTACACGGTCCACCTTTCCGTTCCGGGGCGTCTCCGGAGAGGTGTTCCTGGAGTAAACACTAAACCCTAAACCCTAAGCCCTAATCCCTAAACTCTAAGCCCTAAATGCTAAACCCTTTCAAGGAGTGTATGCGGTTTAGGGTTCTGGCGTCCGTGGGTTCAGG